TGCATACATCGACTATGTAAATTGTCGAATAAACAAAAAAAAGTGAAGTGCCTGGGTTTCGAACACACGGAGCTTCGAAGGCTCCGAGCCGAGCCTGGAAGACTTCGAACCTCGAGGAGAGGAGACCGTGATTTTCAGATGCGCTCGATTCACGCAATCAGCACCGAAGTTTCCGACCTTCTTTCCGAAGATGTCCGAAGACGGCCGAATTTAAAATTCGCTTCACTGACGCATCAGCACGCACACAAATTTCATCCACTCGGCTAAAAGTGTCGATTTAAGACGCGGCCGCGGACCGATGTTTATAATAAAAAATTATTGAATAAATGTCGAATTTCATATTAAATCTGTCTTGCGTTTAATTTCATTACCCTGTGTACTTCCTGACCTGCGGTTCTGCGAGTAAAATTTGTATTTTTATATAATCAAGTTACATATTGTTAAATTAGTAGAAACATCTCCCGACTTGACATAATTAACTTGCTCGTCCGTCCAAGCTACCGCGGCTATCACTCGAGCGAACGATTCCCATTCGACATATATATATATTCCTATATCCCATCTTCATACTGCCTGGTACTGCCTATAATGTGTATATGCTACGGTGGACCTGGCCCTGATTCTGGCCTGTGCTACGGTGGAACCGAACAGGGTAGATTTCTCCTACAAAGGTTCTGCTACATGCTAAAGGTGGACCATCTTCCCCAGTTGGCCGCAAGGTGCAGCACTAGTATGGGAGACGCCAAAACGGCTCCATGAGCACTCTCAGTTTCTCTCTGGTAGTACATTAACTTCGACCAACTCAACGCGCATGATGATTCATTATTCCTCCTTCCCGATGCTGGATCCTCCGCATATACTCCTGTAAGAATTAAAATTGGTCTTAGAATTGTACGTGTAAAGCAGTGAGGGAATAAAGATTGTATTATCGACATACTTACAAGTATTGATTCATTATTCTTCCTCCATTCCGGCACTGCTCCTCTGCATATGCTTTTGTAAAAATTAAAAACGGTTTTGAAATTGTAAGTGTAAAGCATTGAGAGAATAAAGCTTGTATTATCGACGTACTTACAGATGTTGATTCATTATTGCTCCTTCCCCACACTCTCAGTAACGCGTTATGCGTCATGTTATGCATCTCACAATTATTGTTTTGAATACTCATTACTTTATTACGATTGTCTCATGAAATATCATGACGACACACATATTCAACATCCATGTTCCAGGCGAATCAGACGAATAAGCATGTTCAAAATCAGGCGGGACCGCACTGAGGGCACCACTTGTGGGCTCAAACAGAGCTGTTTTCCCCCTCATGCCTTTGGGAGCCCTCCCCTTGCCCATAATCCCACTTTAGGCCCCTTTAAGTCCATGACGCAACCCTACGTTGTCGTGCCTGACAATATTAGTTGATTTCTATCTGTTTTCTACCTGTTTCTACTTTATTTCACGTTATTTCTATCTATACTGAACTGATGGACCTAAGTTAGTCTATTAAAATCATTGGCCTTTTTTGCTGGTACGTGTTACTACGCTGACATTTGATATCTAGGAACAATCCAGGGGGTAGTCTCATATGATTAAGGATTAAATTAAGTATACGTATCGATATATTATAAGTAAGTATCAAGAAATATTTGACTATCCAATTTCGTAATCCAATGTTCATCAAAATTGTATTATTTCAGTATCTGTACTCCTTACGGATTTTATGTAATTTACATACTACTGTTAAGGGATAAAAAGTCAATTTCTCATATACCTCATGGATAACAACTTGCCTCGAATTCTGATTGGATTAATATTTTATGCCTTTGGTATAAAATGGTGTTATGAATATGCCAAGTATTGGGTATCACTGAGACCCAGAGATAATTCGCATGTCACGAAAGGACTAAGACTCATAGAAAAATGTCAGAAACTTATAAGTGGGCATCCTGTGGAAGGTAGCTTAAAACTGATAGCTACTGCTGTAGGATTAGCGGGTACTGTGACCGGTGGTCTGGAAGAAGCGGGAGCCGTTTCTCCCAAAGTTGTGCTTGCTACAATCTATTTGTTCTTTGCATTCTCTGGTCTAGTCGATGTTCTCAATTTTTATTTCCCTCATAATGTAAGTGAAGGATTAGTGAAATTAGCTCTTGCTCAAAGTTTCTTCATAGAAGGCTTTCTTTTCTCATGGGGCAGTATCGGAAGCAATGCATTGGTCGATAGAATTTTGACTTTCATAGTATGGACAACATCTATGGTTATTATTTTAGAACTTGTGTGGCCAGAACTGAAACTTTTAAGGGCATGTATGACCCTGCTCCATGGTGGTTGGATAGCACACGTTGTACGTGTATACCACACAATGCCAATACTTCCAGAAGGTGTTGCTCTCATATTTTCTTGGCATGTCGCTGCTGCTTCAGCAGTAACATTGTGCATAGTAGTAGCAACAAGAAGTTGTGCCCCTAAACTCATAATAGAAGAGCCACCAGAGATACCTATTTATGATTATTGCCAGGAGCCAGACCAGAGAATGTAGAATCTCTCAGATAGATGTAGTATAATTTTGTGCCAATATAAAACTTCCATAATGTGCGCAAAAGTAATATTTTTAGAGTAGTATACTTGTAGTGCTGTAGCAATAATCAAACGAACCAATTGCAATATTGCACACAGTATTAGTA